CTGCCATATATAAATGTTTTAATGAAAAAAAACTATACCCTTGTTGACTGGGCAAGTTATTAATATAAGCTCAGAATGAGTGCTGAAGATTTCAGACTCCTAAAACTCTCTTCCAAATAATTTTTCTGGTTTGAGGACACTTTTATGAATACAGGGATGCTATGAGGCCTCATTTATTTTGTGCAGAGAGTTATTTCATTCCCAGGTCTTGTCCTGCTTCTGTTTTCATACTTCTCCACATCGTTTAGGAAACTTGGCCTAATGAGTTGTCCACAGCTGAGATTAATATTTGGGCAACTAAATTGCTGATTAATAAAAAAAAAATTGTTGCTAACTAAATCCATATTCTGTCATTTAGTAAATGGCCTTTATAATAAGGAAAAATTATTTGTGGGTTAAAGTATTTTATGTATTTAACTTTTGTTCTAGTGATATTATCTAGTGGATAACATCCAAATAACTAACCAGGTTGTTAACTCTTACTATGTTGTTGCCTTTAAGGGCATTTTAATTATAGGAATTTATTTGAATCATCAGTTTTACTGTTAGAGCCAAATCATTCTTGTGGGCTGATGGGAATAGATGCCACCAGGCAATAGATTAATAACTATAAAAAAACCACATGAAAAGGTCACTGCAAATCTCAGATCAAAACTTGTGGTTTTCTGGATTTTGCAACCCACCAGCTTTTTGAAGCTTCTCTCCAGTAACATGATCTTTACGGCAACACCACTGAGCTCTGTAGACATTTGTGATAATTCAGACAGACCAGGAGTGTCCCACACTTGCCCACCATGCCAGGCTTCCCCTGACAGGAAAGGGGACGGATCAGCATGAGTCCATATCAAAAGACAAGCGATCCTTCGGTGATGGCCGAAAAATACGATAGTGAAGGAAGGAGACACTTTTGTTCTCCAAAAAGATTGGAAAAACAGACCGGATTGGAGCCTGGACCGCAGCACTTGGGAGGGCTTTTTATGGAGAACCACAACAGAAAGGAATTCTCTGCTGGTGAATTCTTCTGGCCCTTGGCACTGTCATTCCTGCAGTATTTCAATTATTCTCTCCAACCAGCTAACCGCTGCCCCCTGATCAGCGGCCCCACTCGGCCCCCACTCTTCTTACTCTAAACATGTGTTATTGGGAACAGGGCAACCCGAGGAACCCAGAGTTTGAGCCCTGGGGACCAAATTGTCAGCCTATTCTGAACTTCCGTGGAATACCCAAGGAGTTAACCAGAGTGATTCTGATTTCACTGGGCCCCCAGACTTTCTTTTTCCTTGCATAATAAATACTTGGACACTGGAAAATACATTTAAAACATGAGCCAAGACTCAGGTTCAATGGGAGAGAGTTTGAGAGGGATAACCAATGCAGAAGCAGGGATCCTTCAGGCGCGTTCCGTCTGTAGAGTGCTGAATTGCAAATGTGCTATTTGGGCCAGGATTTTTGATACATGAAGTCTTCCCGGTAAGGGGCAAGACTGCTTCACTTCCTGAGCGAGAATGTCTTATCCGCAGCAGCCTGCAGGTTGATTCCCTTTCCCTTCCCACCATCCCACCCCGGCCCACAGGAACAAAGCCCCCAGTCTCTGGAAAGTAATGCTGAGAAAACAAACAGTACAAAGGCGGGGAACAGGGGGATATCTCTCTTGAATGTTTTTTTGTGACCATCTATGTTCACGGAGGAGGGGGTCCCCCAGCTTCGTGAGCCAGCAGGGTCTCTTTGTAGTAGGCATCTGTATGTTTGGCCAGATGTCCTCCCAGCGGAGGGCAGAGAGGGAAAGATAAAACAGAATTCTTATTAAAAATAAGTCTCTGGGGAGAGAAGAAACAAGACACAGAACGTGTGACAAGTGGAAAGGGAGGCCAGGCGGTGCCATCTGATATTGATTAAATGCTTGATACAGTCAGCAGCGAGAAAGGCGCATCGCGAGGAAGTGACCCTGCTCTTCAGAATATGAACCAGTGACAACTGCCTGCGAGCAATCTGCATGAAGACCACATGCCCAGGAGGTCCAGCGGCAAACCCAACAGCAGCACACACGGCAGAGTGGGAGGGAAGGACCTTCACCCTGAGAGGGCAGACGCGTGGCTTCGGATTTGCTTTGCCTCACTGACCTCACTTTCCCCATCAATAACACAATGACACTTGACCAGATGACCTCCAAGCAGCTTTCTCACCCTAGATTCTCTTATCTACCCTAACCTCCCCTGTGACCAAATCTTCTGAGGCTCTTCCAATGGAATGCAAGAAATCGCCCTAGAGAGACATAAAGAATTCACCCACCTACCGTCCTAAAATCCAAAAGGAAGGTAACCCCCCCTCCCCCCCATCAACCACAAAAGCGTCAGCCAGTCTTTTCCAAGGGAGTTCAGTCCAACGTTGCTGTGTCTATCATCCTTCTGTGCTTACCGTTGCCACCAAAGCAAGTTTCTGGGTTCTGGACAGGAGATGTGGCATGCTTGTGGGTCTACTTATACCTTCCCCCCAATCCCAGTTCCAAAAATAGTTTCACTCTGACTGATGTAAGGGGTTTTTGTTTCATTTTAAGCTGCCGGATTATAGAGAGTCTAAGAGCTGATGGGTGTGTGTGGGTGTGTGTGTGTGTGGTGTTCATTATTTAAGGAGGAGTTGTTAAAGTGTTTTTGTTTTTTTTTTGGTTTTTTTTTTTTCCCTCTTTGGCACTGTTGTGAGGATAGCAGTGTCTGAGTACAGGGTAAGGCTGGATTCCAGTGGGAGTGGAAGATGAAGCTCCCACTGAGATGAAAAGGTCTCACTGAGGACCATGGTAGTGAAGTAGAAAGGAAGGGATGACCAGAGAGAGTCACCATGACAGAGCAGAGAGAGCATGGTGCTTAAAGTCAGTCAGACCCGAGTTTGAATCCTGCCTATGGTGTCTGTGGGATATCATTGCAGCTATCACTGCCATGCCTCCTTGAAGGGTGCTTGTGAATAAAGATGCCATATGGAAAGCACTTGGCTCAGAATCTATTAGAGCATAGGCAGGACCAGATTAACCTACAGAGGAGATGACTGTGATAAAAATGTCTCATGGGAAGATTAGCAGGGCCTGGCAACTGAGTGAATTAAAGAATAGAGGAGAAAACTCAAAGGTGTCTTGGAGTGGGGGATTGGGATAATGGTAGTATTTAGGGTGGAAGTTGGAGTTATGGTTTGGTGGGGATGATATTGCATAGAGAGGTGGTACCGAGACATCCAAAGGGCAATTAAAGGAGGACAGAAAGGAAATAGAGTAAAAGAAATGGGAAAACCGATCCAGAGAAGTTGATTTACTCTTGGTCTGTTTGAGTCAGATTTTACAACTTTACCTTCAGAGGGTTGGCTAATCAAAGGTTGATCCAGAATGACCATCTTCTCAATAAGCTTTAGCTCTTCAAAATGTGTTTCTCTAATTAGGCATCTTCTGGACCTTGGGAGAAATGCAGAATCTTAGCTTCTGCCTCAGACCTACTAAATCAGAAATTTGCATTTCACAGTGCGTTTTATAAGCACTCTGCAGTTTGAGAAGCACTGTTCTCAAGCATGGCGGCCAGACCAGCAATGTCCACATCCCCTGGGAACTTGTTAGAAATCCAAATTCTCAGGCACCTTCCCAGACCTCTTGAGGTAGAAAGGCTGTGTTCTGACAAGTCTGATGCATCCCAGAGTTTGAGAACCACTGCTCTAAGTCATGGAACAGATGGAATGAACCCCCTCCCCTTGAGTTTGTAGCTCAGAACACCAGAGAGATTGGTTAAACCCTGAAAATTAAATTGGAGTCATTGTTCTTTGCTGTTTCTCTCATCATATTGCATTAAACACAGCTGAAGAACTCTTTTCACTGAAGAAGGGCACTATGCGTAAAATTATAAACTGAAAGGGGGGAACTTTCGCTGTGGCTTAATCCTCACGACTTACACATCAAAAGTTATTGAGCACAATTATAGGAGATCAGTCCTTTATGTGCTGTTGCTCCTGTGAGACGCTATTAGTAAAATGTACATAGGAAAATAAGGGATCTCCCGATATTCCTTACAATGTGATTTTCACATTAAAATGTCCACAGTCTCTGTCTTCTGTGTTTCTAATCAGTGTGACAGAAAGTTCCCTTTTTATAGGTTAGTTTCTGGAGTCGCTTGCAGAAGTGATAGTGGTTTACCACTTAGGCTAGAATTTTTTCAAAAAATTGAATAGTGAGCAGTCAAAATTTACCTCCTCTCATCAAAAATGTCCTTTTTTTTTAGTTTCCTAATTGTTATTCAAATCACTGTGATAATTTAAGTAAGGGTCAGTGTCTGTTTTCTATATACATATGATATCCAAAAATGGTTATATCCTGAGCATTTTAATTATAAAATTACCTATATTTTCTGCTATAGGTTATAGAGCATTGCAGCCAGGGGCATGGTAAAACAATGTGTATGGGGGGCGGGGCGGTCACAATATGTGGTGGTCGCCCATTTCCATGGTATAAATACTCCCTCCGGGGATGATTTTAGGTTTCCAACAATTTGACAACCAGCTCCCCAAATTCCTACAAATGTAACAGTTGGCTCTTGTAAGCCAGTAGGAACTAGCTCAAGCACACCACTGAAACAGACATCAAGGGACAGTCCACAGTTTTTCTGGTTGGTTGTGTTTGAATTGCTATAGATCCAATAAGAGCTGAAACAAGTCAATTTGGGTGTTTAAAATCTTTGATCATGTAGAGATTTTTATTGAAATGCTAATGATAATGGATTTGAAATTATTCTGACACAAAGTTACATGCTATTTCCAAGTCATTATTAAATACAGCGACATTAAACTACATCATCATAATGGTGATATTTAAAGTGCTTATGTTGCTAAAATGGTATGTTTAAAATACCACTCATCCTATGGGAAGGCATATGGAAAAATGAGTCTTCATCATAGTATTCGAGGCAACATGCAGAAAGATACTTTTTGAAATGATATCTCTGGTTACTGTTATTAAAATTTGACTTCTCTTTCAGGTATTCAGGAAGGAACGCAGTGTACCAAATGTAAAAATAACTGGGCACTGAAGTTTTCTATCATATTATTATACATTTTGTGTGCCTTGCTAACAATCACAGTAGCCATTTTGGGATACAAAGGTAAGTACTCTCTCCTTTTTCTTTCCAAATGGCACATTTCCCTTTATTAATTTAAACATGAAAAAAAAAAAACCATGTTTGCAAGTATGAAGTATGTCATTAATACAACTCAAATGCAAAAGTAAGCAACATCGTAAACTTTGTGTCTTGCGCTTCCTGTAGTTGTGGGATCTGAGTCCTTTTGACGCATTTCCACAATCCTAAAGGTCCTCTATGAGTTATAAAGCTTTTTCCTCATTGTTGTGTTTTCCTACCTGTTTCTAGCTCCACCCTCTTCCTCAATCTTTTTTCATCTTATCTCTAAGAGGTCCTGTGGAAACCCTGGAGTCAGCACACAGGAAAATTATACTGACAGAGGGTAAGCCAAACACAAGATCTCCAGAGATATGACTTACTTCACCCCAGGGACTGGGCAGCTAGTTTCCTTTTTTTCCCTCTTCAGCACATTTACCATGACCACTGTTGTTTATATAGCTCCGTAAAAATATTGCCCTGTAGAAGTAAAACATAGAGGGAGCACCGCCACCCCAATAATACTTTATGGGATGTTAGGTATTCTTTCAGTATGTCTGGTTTAAGGTCAGTGGAAGATTTTTACCTAAATCCTTCAGACTTGCAGACAAAGTGGGTTTCCTTCTTCCCCTCCCCCGCCCACCACCACACCCTTTCCAGACACCACAGGTAGAAGGTGTCATGATTCAGAATCACGGGCTGCATAAACCTTTTTATAGAAAACAGCCATGGAAGCCTTCCCATCAAAGATACATGACACAGATGTGTCGTCTGGTTTCAGCAAGAGGCAAGCATGGGGGCTGCTGATCTTCAAAACCTTCACTCAGCAGCTATCCTGGCTGCCTTCCCTCAGAACTGACAGGTTAACAGTGGAGAATTCCCACATATTCCCTTCTCTGTTTCTTGGCTCATAGACACTCCTCCCTGGCGAGAGAAGTGAATTCCCTCCAACCTATCACTCCTCTTTCCTCTCTCCAAGTGTCTAGAGGCTTCCTGAGGAAACCCCATGTATTAAAATGAGAATGGGCTTTGGAGCCAGATGGTCTAAGCTAACTCTCGATTCCTCTATTTGTAAAACAATTGTGAGAGTTTATTAAGTGTTTGCTGACATGCTGGGCATCATGCTAAGTCCTCCGCATGGCTGTGTAACCTGGGTATGAATCACAACCTCTTTGAGTTTCCTATTTCTTACAATAACAGTAATACCACTTTTCAAGGAGTTTGGAATGAGCAAAGATGATGTCATTGAACCTGTCCAGTAGTGGGTTCTAGTAGATAGTGGCCATATTTCTGTTTCTTGCTTCTTCATAACGGCATTTATACAGCTGTGGCCAGTAGAATGGCAAAATGTTAAAAATACTTAGTACAGTTGAAGCTTGAAAGTCCCATCTCTGAGGCCAGATGCATGGAAAATTGTGTGCATCCTGTAGGGTGTTGACTGATGAATTTGAGCAGTGGAAATCTAGAAACTTACCAGGTCATTTTATACATTTGTGATTAGTTAATCTAACCTAAGAATAACAAAGTAAGCATTAAGAAAGGTTATTAAATTGTGGCAAGGCAGGACAAGGGGTGGGGGAGGGAGTCTAGTGAGGAAAGGGAGGGTCTGTTATGTCCTGGGTGAGTCAGACTGGCTCTCCTCCTTTACCAGGTTATTTGGAGCACTACTTACTTCTCGACGTTTCCCAGAAAACCCAGATAAAGGAGAATCTTGAGATCAAATAGCCATTTAATAAGTACCTTTAGGGCTCAGTACTGTGTGATATCATGAAAGCAAACAACTACTGGAAGAAAGTTGACAAAGGTTTGAAGAGCATATTACCATATGGTATTTTATAACTTTTCTCTCTGCAGAGAAATAAGATCTAGAATCTTTGTGCCTTTAGAATTGTATAGAAGTTCCAAAGGAGAGGGGTTCCCCCCCCCTTTGTTTGTTTTTAAAGTTATTCCAGATATTTCCTCCATTTTTATGACATTGGAAAGCCCATCTCAGCTCTGGCATCTTGTGCACATGCTGGTCCATTTGCTAAGAACACTTTTTTTCTGCTCTCCACCTAAAAGGACTCCTTTCCTTTCCTGTTCTAGACATTTATCCCATAAGAAGCCCCGAAGGCTGAGTTAGGCCCTCCTGTTTGTTCCCAAAGCATTCCCTTATTTACACTTAGCCCCTGTCATACTCACTCATGATGGCCAGTGGGCTTATCTGTCTCACTACCCAAACTCTAAGCTCCATGAAAACAAGAGACTCCTATCTTTAGTTTGTCATATCTCCCACTAGCACCTAGGCTCATGGTACTTATTAGGCACCAGTTAAAGTTACTGGATAAATTAATGAGAGGGAGGATGGATGGATGGATGGATGGATGGATGGATGGATGGATGGATGGATTGTAGATCAGGGCTGACTTCTGTAAAGACAATAAGTCAGTGCCCAGGGATGTGTAAACCATTCTGCATTTAAGGCATTGCCACCACTCAGAGCCCTACCAGGAAGTCTAAAATCCTAAAGATCAGCATGGCCTGCTCTCTGCGGTGTAACCTACCCAGGATGAAAGCAGGGAGGTGCTGAGGGAGCAAGTACGAGTGGATGCAAGGAGATGGTCTTACTCCTTTTCCCTCCAGAAGGGGCCCCCATCCCTCAGGCATCTACTAACAAATACAAAATAATAACCACATGCAGTTTGGGTTCCCAAACATCATCTGAATGAACTAAAATGTGGGTATTTTCCAGATATGTTTTCTCTTGTACAGCAGGTCTTCTTTCTTGCTGATAAGAGTCTAGCAACCCCACAGGGGAAGAGGCAGAAAGATAAGACCTGGTTCTCCTTTCCCACATCTCCCTTTGAAGTCTAGAGAAACTCTTTCCATTTCAAAAAAGAAAGAAGAAAAAGAATATTCAAAGGCGATCTTTCTCTGAAGGAGAAGTTAGGAAGTACAATAGAAAGTGCTTTATGTATGAGAGTTGGCAAAACTCCATACTGTTTTCCTCAGAACAGTTTTTTACTTCTCCTTTTATGTCACTTACACAACCACGAGTTAGGATATAACTGAAGTTCCTTCTGGAGAATTTGCTGCATAAGGCGGGGAACTGCTGAGTCACCCCCACAGGGCTGTACAGTGACTGTGACCCCAGAGGCTCATCAGCTGCTGTACAGAAACTATGTTCTTGGATAATTCCAGCTCGGGGCATTCTCTGCCTTGGGCTCTTTAACTTCCGTCATGGAGCTGCCATGGCAGACGCCATCTCCTAAGTTCAGCGGGTCATGTTTCCTCCAGAACATTCCGGAACAGGAAAATCAGCAGGCATACATCTCAAGAGAATTAGGATAGAGAAGAAAGAAATCTGTATCTTTCTCAAGACAAATCTCCTTTAACTCATCATTCCTAGTCATTGAATGTCTACCTTGCTGCTAATCTCTGCTAAAGTAGCAGAGACAGCTGGTTCAGTAGGCTTTCCACATGGGCATCAAGTCACACTGGGGGGCTCCTGTGAGAAGCCAGCGTAACATCCGACAGCCAGATCTTCTGTACTTTTGTAGTGAGACCCGAAATAGCATTCAAAGGTGGAAATGCCTTGATTGCATTCCAGGGCAGTGCAGAGGGTATTCCCGGAAGTCCCAGGTACCCACGCAGGGGCGTGTTTACCCCCTCAGCACCGCTGTCTGGGACAGACACGCATGTGAGCACTAGGCAGGAGCTCTTCGCCCTGCCCTTGTTCCTTGTCCTCAGGGCCTGGAGCGTGAACTATGTCTCTCATGGGAGGTAACTATATTGAGGAAAAAGAAGTACTAAATACGAGGTAATGTGGAATTCTAGAGAAAGCATTCATTTTGGAATTAGATTTCCTGACCTGCCATCTCACTTGGTCCTTTACAAGCTGTGTAACCCTGGGCAAGTTACTGAACATCTCTGAGTCTCAATTTCTTCATCTGTAAAACAGCAGTTTTAAGGATTAACTTTGGTGATGGTGCAGTGCACCTTTCAAAGAGTAGGCACTTGGTAAACAGAGGCTGTTATTGCTGTTATTATTGGTGTGGTATAAAACCCAATTGTCAGGGAAGGCTTAGCACGTTGGGGTGGTGAGAGTGGAGTGGACCCTGAAGGACTGGTGGAATCATGACAAGGGAGAATGAGGTTCATGGCCCAGGCCAAGGGATGGTACCAAAAGGCTTTTATAGAAAAGGTATGATTGTCAGATTATCCACGAGGATTAGGCTTTGGGTACTCAAAGAGGGCCAACTCCTTGGGTATGATTTCCAAAGCAGTAATGTTCTGAAGAAAAACTGACGAAACAGTTGCTAGGGGGCGTGGGGGATTCGTGAGCCTGGTGGTGGGTATTAAGGAGGGCACCGATGGCATGGAGCACTACATCAAAAACTAATGATGTACGGTATGGTGACTAACATAACACAATAAAAAAAAAAGAAAGAATAAAGGGGAGCCCATGAAAAAACAGGCTGCTAGGAACTCTTCCGTTTGATGTTCATCTTTCTCACATCAGAAGGATCTACAAACCGAGGTCTGCATCAATAGACTGGGAGTTTCTAGGGTAAGGGAGGATGGCTCTGTCACTGTTTTCCTGATTGACAACTTGTGCTGATAGGTTAAGAGTAAAAACCAATGAAAATGCTGTGTGCTGTTACAGCAAGTGTTGGTTCTAGATGCCCATCAGCCTGGTATTTTTTATGCCGTAGCAAGCTGCCAGCTTTGCAGCCCTGAAGTTTGCAGCTTTAGACCCAGATCCTATTTTTAAAATGCAGACACACACGCCCCAATGCATGTAACCAGATCATTAGCCCCTGTGGCCAAGGCCAATAGCTTCCTCGTTGCACCAAAGAGAAATCTAACAGATTTTCATTCTGTTTTTAACAAATGTATTTATTGCCTTTACACAAACCTGAATTCTCTGTCCATGACAGTTCTGTGTTTTTTAAAACTAAAATGGAGGGAAAATTAGAGAGGGTAGAAAATGACTGCCTGTCAGCATATTTAGAAGTTTCTTCGGCTTCCGGGAAAAAATGGGCAGGACTGAAGAGACTGTGTGTGGTTTGAGGACAGACTGAGCCATGTGTTTTGATTTGAGAATCAAAACTGAATCTTAACTCATCAACATTTTATGCTTTTTTTTTTTTAAAGTTTAACTTTGCAAAATTACAGATGAAACATTGTGTTCCTCAGAGTTTGGGGGGATTTACAAATATGCATGCCTGTCTAACAGTCCTAAGATATAGATTATTATAACAATACCCCTCTTGTCTATATAGTCACTTTCAAAAAAAAGAGTCATAATTCAGCTGGCTGTTGTTCTTCTTGGGGTGTGGGGGTGGGGAGGGCTGATTTGTATGTCTGTTTGCAGGACCTCTAGCTCAGCCAGTTTTTCACAGGCCTCAGTAGCCAGGGGGCAGACTCTCACCGATTTAAGTAAATAGCATAATAAATATGTGTTGAACACCTACTAAGTGCCACACTAAGAGCTACAGATCAAACTGAATGCAAATTTTCCTGCCTTAAAGGATCTGATAGTAAACAAGCCAGGACCACACAGTGAAGTAAGTCCTATGGCAGAGAAAGGACTGCTTGCCAAGAGAATTTCTAAAAGATGCACCGCAGCAAAGATTTCCCATAGAAGGTGATGAGCTGAGTCTCGAAGAGCAAGTAGGGCTTAACCTGGCGATGATCCCAGGGAAGAACATTTTAGGTAGAAAGAAGAGCACTTGGAAGGGCTTGGGTGAAAAAGAGCATTTGGTGCCTTGCACGCATTTCATTATAGCCACACTCTAGAAGCTTGAGGGGGACAGCAGGACAAGCTTCCCCAGAGAAAGTGCTAGAAGCCACAGGGCTGGTTCACTTTGGGTCATACAGACCCATGGGAGCATACCTCTGCTTCCTGAAAGGAGCCAGGAGAATCTTCTCATACAATCACGCACGGGTGGAACACTTGAAGAATAAAAATAAATTGGCTCCATTACCTTACAATTAATATAGAAAATATATTCATGCTTCAAAAAAAAAAAAAATGAAGTCCTTATTTTCAGAAAGCCATTAATACCAAGACAGACTTGATCTCGAGTTGCTAGAGGTTGGATGTCGCAGGAGTCACTTCTGGAGAAACACGCTCTTATGAATATTTTAGAAAGAAACTTGTATTCACAACTGTAAAGAGCTGCCGTCTGAGAACAAATAAGAGCAGAAGTTGATACTTAACACCGTGTCACTAACTCTTTCCCTTTCATGTACAATCAAGAAAATGCTAAAAAAAAAAAAAAAAAGTCTTCTTCATGAATAATTGTCTGGAAATCTATGTAGGGATCTTCTTGGGAAATGACGAAGGACAGATTGGCTTGTCACTGAGAAGTAGACTTTTCAAGGCCTCATGAAAGAGAGTGGCAAATGCTCTTGACTTTCTTTCCCTTCCTTCTACAAAGACTATTTATAGAAGTAGCTAGGTATTCTTTACTACAGACTTTTCTCAGACTTTTCTTCCAGACAAATGTATACCACCTTCCAGGAATGGTAGGGAGTGTGATGAGTGATAAAACTTTGTAAATGATCACAGTGTTATACCTCCATCTGTGAAAAACACTTTAGAAAATAATACAGATTGAGGACTTATATAATACATAAAAATTAAAGCTGAGCTCCAGACAACATCTAACACATCCAAGGTATTACAGAATCCTAAGAACAGCTAAGAACATAAAATTCTTAGGGCGCCTGGGTGGCTCAGTGGGTTAAAGCCTCTGCCTTCGGCTTGGATTCATGATCCCAGGGTCCTGGGATCAAGCCCCACATCGGGCTCTCTGCTCAGCAGGAAGCTGCCTCCACCCACCCCCCACCCCCCGTCTGCTTCTCTTCCTACTTGTGATCTCTGTCAAATAAATAAATCTTTAAAACACACAATTCTCAACCAAATAACCTACCACGGGGTTTTGTAACGAGTAAGTTATTTTTTTAAAAGAATCGCTTTTCCCCCATATTTGATTTCATTTATACTCTTTTTGTTTCAATCTTTTCCTTTATTCGCTAATGAAATATTTTTTTCATCAAAACTGAAAAATAAAATGTAAGCATGTGTGTGTACTAATCCTTAATTCTTAAATCTTAGTCGTAGAAAAAATGGACAATGTTACGGGTGGCATGGAGACATCTCGCCAGACCTATGATGACAAGCTTACAGCAGTGGAAAGCGACCTGAAAAAATTAGGTAATCTGCAACAAGAATGAACCATTAAACTGACTCCTCTGATTCCATGTTAAATGACCGCCGCTATTTAGAACCATACTGTTGTAAATTCACATTCACCCAGAAGGATGTTAAATTTTTGTGTTGTGTGTTGAGTCTTTCCTCATGATTTTATTTAAAGGCTTCTACATTTTAACCTTAAGGAGCAATTTTGGAGTTCTTCAAAAAACCACTCTGTGTGCCAATTAAAATCTGAAGATCAATCCTGATCAAAAAGGACCACACATAGATTTTAGTAAAAGCTCTTTAGAGCAAACCTACAGAGAAAGTTTCTAAGTATTTGCAAGGTGGATATTGTTATTGTCATCCTTAATTTATACAGGAGAAAATGGTGACTTAACCAGGAAGAAGAACAGTTGAAATGTGAACCTAGGGTAATTTTTAAAGTTTAAAATTTGTGTATATACTATAATTTTCATCTCAATAAAAAATAATAAGAGAAAAAAAAACAAAAAAAATCCTTTATAAAATGTTCAGTAAATTCGTACTTGAAATATTCTAAACTGCATAGAAGAGCTACAGAAATCAATTTAAAAAATTAAAAGATTCCAACTTATTTCTATACTTTGATTTTTATTTTCATTTTTTAGGAAGGGATTAATGGTAAATTTAATAAGCAGTAAGTTATTTCCTTCTTGACACCCTGCCCAGTGCTCTAAAATCTGATAAAATCCCCCTCCTTCTTTGAGAAAAGTGCTTAGGAAGTTAGCACCCTTCCCAATTTCCCAGAACCCACTTTGAAAAGATAGATACGTGGGTTTTACTAATGCAAAACACTCTGCATAGACCACAAATTTTATATCTGACACACAGTTCATACTAGTTAAGTGTCTTTTGGATCTTTATGGTTCTTTTTTTGGTTTTTGGTTTTTAAAAAAAAAAAAAGATTTTATTTATTTATTTGACAGAAAGAGAGAGAGGGGGGCAACACACAGGCAGAGTGGGAAAGGGAGAAGCAGGCTTCCCGCTGAGCAGGGAGCCTGATGTGGGACTCGATCCCAGGACCACAGGATCGTGACCTTAGCTGAAGGCAGAAGCTTAATGACTGAGCCACCCAGGTGCCCCTCTTTGGGATCTTTGACCCCACCTGAGCATTTCTCCTTACCACCAATCTAAGTAATAAATATGTCTTATTCCAGGGGACCAAACTGGAAAGAAAGCCATGAGCACCAACTCAGAACTCTCTACCTTCAGATCAGACATACTGGATCTTCGTCAGCAGCTGCGTGAGATCACAGAGAAAACCAGCAAGAACAAAGACACTCTGGAGAAGTTACAGGCAAGTGGGGATGCCCTGGTGGACAGGCAGAGTCAACTGAAAGAAACTTTGGAGAATAACTCTTTCCTCATCACCACTGTGAACAAAACCCTCCAGGCGTATAATGGATATGTCACAAATCTGCAGCAAGACACCAGCGTGCTGCAGGGCAACCTGCAGAGCCAAATGTACTCTCATAACGTGGTCGTTATGAACCTCAACAACCTGAACCTGACCCAGGTGCAGCAGAGGAACCTCATCACCAATCTGCAGCGGTCTGTGGATGACACGAGCCAGGCCATCCAGCGAATCAAGAATGACTTCCAAAATCTGCAGCAGGTTTTCCTTCAAGCCAAGAAGGACACTGATTGGCTGAAGGAGAAAGTGCAGAACTTACAGACACTGGCTGCCAATAACTCTGCCTTGGCCAAAGCTAACAATGACACCCTGGAGGATATGAACAGCCAGCTCAATTCATTCACGGGGCAGATGGACAACATCACCACAGCCTCCCAAGCCAACGAGCAGAACCTGAAAGACCTGCAGGACGTACACAAGGACGCGGAGAACAGGACAGCCATCAAGTTTAGCCAGCTGGAGGAACGCTTCCAGCTTTTTGAGACGGATATAGTGAACATCATTAGCAACATCAGTTACACTGCCCACTACCTGCGGACGCTGACGAGCAATCTGAATGAAGTCAGGACCACGTGCACTGATACACTGACCAAACACACAGATGATCTGACCTCCTTGAATAACACACTAGCCAACATCCGTTTGGATTCTGTTTCTCTCAGGATGCAGCAAGATATGATGAGGTCAAGGTTAGACACTGAAGTAGCCAACTTATCAGTGATTATGGAAGAAATGAAGCTGGTAGACTCCAAGCATGGTCAGCTCATCAAGAACTTTACAATACTACAAGGTAAGTGAAAATTCTGAATGTATTCGTTTTAGTTACTGATTGGTATATAACAAATTACCCTAAAAGTCGGCAACTTAAAAACAGTGAACATTTGCCATCTCAAGTTTGTGTGGATCAGGAATTCAGGAGTGGCTTAGCTGGGTGATTCTGGCTCAGTATCTCTTGTAAGGTTGTGTCAAGATATTAGCCAGGGCTGCAGTCATCTTGAACTCTTAACTGGGACTGAGGACCTCCTTCCAAGATAACTCATGCACATGGCTCTTGGTAGGAGGCATCAGTTCCCTACTGGCTGTTGGCAAGAGATTTTCGATTCTGGCAATGTGAAGTTGCTTGAGTGTTCTCACAGTATGGCAGCTGGCTGACTGCCGAGTAGGTGATCCAAGAGAAAGCACAAGGAAAAGCCACATGCCTTTTATGACCTAGCTTCAGAAGTCACATACTATCACTTCCACCATATTCTGCTCTTTAAAAATGTCATTAAGTCCAACCCACACTCAAGGGGCAGGTAGATTAAGCTCCACATCTTGAAAAGAGTTTTAACTGTGACTTTGTGGATAGCACTCAAAGGCAGTCCATTAACTATTTGCTGAATTTGGACTTTCTCAGTGCCTTGCTCTTTCAATGTCATTATAAATCAGGCTCCTTTGAAAGTAGGATTAATTTGTTTAGGTCACAGGGATTCCCGTTTCTAAGTGTCATGAGCAGATGGATGGTTGGCCATCACAGTAACTGTAAAGCCACAGAAGACAGAATGTGACCTGCATATAAAATCTGAGTTTTACTCTGATCCAGGTCACCCATGTAAATTGAAAATTCTTGGCTCAAATTAACTCTCCTTCTGAAGATTTGTGGCAACCATATATTAATAGCATTTTTCAGTCATGAACTATTTTCACTGCTTTTATGTTGAAAGTACTATGTGAAAGATGATGTACTAAGCACTCTGGGGCACGCAGAGAGGCCCAGATGGTCCTTCCCCTCAGGTAGCTTAAAATCAGGAGAATTTTAGAGTATCAGGAGATTGCCTGTAAGCAAAGAAATCCTGATTTTCAAAAAGAGGAAATATGCATAGACATACTGTGTAGAATGGGGAATTGGTCTTCAAGCCTGAAAAGAGGTTGTTAAGAGGATAATCTGTGAGCTTTTGGGAAAGCAGCAATCATCAGAGTGAGATCACTAAAAAGAAAGCAGGTGAACCTAATCTTATTTCTGTACATTAACAGAGTTATTAGGTTGTTTAAACTAGAAGACTAAGGGCGCCTAGGTGGCTCAGCTGGTTGAGTGACTGCCTTTGGCTCAGGTCATGATCCCAGACTTCTAGGATCGAGTCCCACATCGGGCTCCCAGCTCTTTGGGGAGTCTGCTTCGCCCTCTGATCTTCTACTCTCTCATGCTCTCTCTCACTCATTCTCTCTCAAATAAATAAATAAAATTAAAAAAAAAAAAACTAGAAGAATAAAAAAGTGTATCTGGATTTTACCAAGACATTTGTCATTGATGCTGTCAAGAACAAGATGGAGAAAGTAGGTGCTGAATTACATCGCAGTTGGGGAAATTTATTGGTGATGTTGGTTTTCTATGCTATGTAACAAAGTGCAAACTCAGCAGCAAGGGACAATACCCATTTCTTATCTCACAGTATCTGTAGATTGGATGTCTGGGTAAGGCTTGGGGCCTCTGCCCCAAAGCAGGATACCCTGTCATTGAGGGGCTGAGGTTTCATCAGAGGCTTGACTGGAGAAATTCCCTTTCTGTGCTCCCTTGGGTGCTTAACAGTATTCATGTCCTTGCAAATGTGAGACTGAGGTTCTTGGGGTCTTTTGGGGGCAAGAAGGGGTACTGGGCTAGAGGTCACCTGCAGCCCCTTGCCATGTGACCATCAAACCACACCGCAGCTTCTTCAAAACCGGCAGGGGACTCCAGTCTACTGAGACAGTGTTATGTAATGTAATCTCATCTAATGGAAGTCAAGGGAGTGACATGCCATCACCTTTGCCATGTTCTGTTGGTTAGAAGCAAGTCACAGGTTGCACACTCAAGGGGAAGAGATGATACAAGGGCATGAGTCATTGGGGGTGACCCTAGGGTGTGTCTTCCACAGAATGTGCATAAAGAATGGCAGTTCAATGAGCTCCTGGGGGGCTGGCAGCAGGTCTGGATGGCAGATGGCAGAGCCCCATTCAACAGCTTTGTCAGTGACTAGCATGAGGATATAGATAACCTGATAATCCACTACTTGTGTGACATGAAACTACATATACTAGCCCATGGATGCTAGAATCATAATCCAAAATGACCTGGGGAGGCTAGAATAGTTAAGAGGTGCCAACAAAATGGAAGAGATAGGGAATACCTGTAAAATCCTGCTTGAGGTTGGAAAAGGCCGGACAGACAGATGTTGATGGAAGAGCATGTGTATGAAAAGCATGGTGGTTTTAATCGACTGTAAGCAAGTCACTGTGTCTGGCAGTGAATCTAATGTGATCTTTGATTATATCAATGAAAATGATAGGAGGTGATACCTTACTCTGTTCAGTATGGCAAGACTACCCCTGCAGGATAGTGTGTACTTTGAGGGACCTCTTTCAAAGGGTCATTGACAGACCAGCATGCTCAAGAAAAATACACCCAGGATTATGGAGTCTAGATGTGGTTGGGGAAGGATTGCAAGACCTGGGAACATTAACCTGTAGGAGACACTGTTTTAGTGGAGACAAGGCAGCTATCTACAGGTATTTAAAGACTATCACGTGCGGGGCGCCTGGGTGGCTCAGTGGGTTAAAGCCTCTGCCTTTGGCTCAGGTCATGATCCCAGGGTCCTGGGATCGAGCCCCGCATCGGGCTCCCTGCTCAGCAGGGAGCCTGCTTCCTCCTCTCTCTCTCTGCCTACTTGTGATCTCTGTCTGTCAAATAAATAAATAAATAATCTTAAAAAAAAAAAAAGACTATCACATGGAAGAAATTTCATGTGACATCTGGGGAGGGTGAAACAGGACTAGTGGGTATTCATGAATAGAAAACAAATTTTGGTTTTATGTGATGTTCCTTATAAAAATTGGTGTTGCCTGTAAATACAATGGCTTCCCTGAGCAATATTGGTGTCCCAGCTCCAGAGGAGACAGACATCGTGAGTACGAGTCATACTCTGAATAAGGGGCAGGCTTTCAGATGATCAGAAACTTCTTCAGTAATTGCTTTAGTTTTTTCCTATTCTTTCTCAACCTAAATTCAAAAGGAGGGCAGATCTCAGTAGTTGCGCAACCACATAAAATAAGAGCTTTCTCAATTTCTGTTGGCACTGTGAAACCTTAGAGAATCCTGTTGCAGTACTCTGGATATTTTCTAGCTATAAGTTTTACAGTTTTATTATTCCATCCAGTTGCTAGCTTGCCTTCTACAAGTAAACTTCTAACACATTTAGTGTGTAGACCGTGTTGCTTGGCAGCTAAGGAAGTGTACAAAAAGTTTTTAACTGAAGATTCAGACCCTGGCTTTCAATTAGGTAATGTTTCCACTATTATGATTGTTTTTATTCACTAATATTGAGTGTGAATGCACTGAGCACTTGACTCAAACTCTGTAAGACAGGTACTTATTTTCTTTCCTTTTTTAGAGATTGTGTGTGAGCCAGGGGCAGGGAGGGGTTTGGGGAAAGGCAAGGGAGAGAGAGAATCTGAAGCAGGCTTCATGCCTAGCACGGAGCCCACCGTGGAGCTCAGTCTCACAACACTGAGATCATGACTTAAGCCAAAATCAAGAGTCAGATGCTTAACCGACTGAGCCACCTAGGCATCCCAAGTAAGATGGTACTTAGAAGATCATCACCAGTTTATAGATGAAACTAAGGTTTGGAGAGGTGTTTAAGGAACTTGCTCAAATTCACAGAGATGGTAGCAGCTAAACAGGATCTGAGCCCAGGCTTTCTGGTGCCAAGGCCCATGCTGTTAACCCCATCTTGGATCACCAAAAGTGCATGCCCTTCTTCCCAGTCCTTAGGTGCCCCACAGTCTGTGAGCGCAGGGAGCTGGGATTTCATTCTAAGTGTGGCATGGTGGGTACATGATCTGATTTATATTTTTAAAATGTCATTCTGGGTGTGGGGAGGGGAATGAGGTGGGAGAAGGATAGATTACAGGGGAGCAAGCAGGGCGACAGGGGTCCAGTGCAGGGCTATGGGCCAGTTATGGGTGACTTGGAGGTAAGAGAAATGGGTCTCCTCATTCAGGAGGAGTGTTGTAGGCAGACCCAAGGGCAGGCTTGTCCTTCCCTGGCCATCAAGACCCTGACTGGCTTTATCCAGGTATGCTCCCCAAGGGGAGGAACCTAGAGATAGAAGGGGATAGGAGTATTCAGAGCTCACATCAACCTGTTCTTGCCCCATTTGGTGCTCAGGACCCTGGAGTTTCCTACCCAACGTGTTCTTAGCCCAGAGGAGCGGCCAAGACTGTGTGTTGTAGGGGTGCTTTGTGGAGGGGTTGGACAGAAATGGAACACAGGGTCAGGGGCTGATGTATGTGATTGGACAAGGCTGATGGTGGATTGATAGTGGAGGGTGAGGGAAAGAGAGGAGCAGAATATCTCCTCCGTTCTTAGCTTGAGCAAGTAGGTGGAAGGACAGACTGGGGAGGTTCAGGAAGAGAGGCCCATTTAGACATATTAAGTGGAACATGTCTATGAGGAGGAGGTTTCTGACTCTGTGTTTCTAAAATACCATTTAGAAGCCAGGATCTCTATTTTCCTTTTCTCATTTGCCTTCCCATATAACGTTTATCCTTGGTCTTTTCATTACCTGTGCTTTTTGTGAATTGACCTCAGAAACATCTCTAGTTGCCCCCTTTCTGTTCCATCTGTTCAACTTCCTACAGAACAGGATTGTCCATGAGGTGTTCCCAGAGAACAAGAGACTGGGGGCAGGGCTCCATTTCCCAGTGCACTTCTTTGCTCCCTCTCTCCTTTTCCTCCAAGCAGATCTCTTCCCCGAGGAGGAGGGAGAGACGGGA